CTTTTCGCTTTCCGATGGAGCAGAGAATTGAGTTTCGCTGTTTCAAGAGCATCGTGTCCCTCGAGCCGCTCGATTTCTTTTTCTAGATAGAATCCACACACGGGTACATGTAACGCCTGTTGTCTCCACTCCATCTGCAGTCGGAACCAGCCACAATATGGTTCTCTGGTTTCCGCGATAGGTTGTAGAAGCAAATTTCCAACAAATGTATTCCCCAGGAAGCATATCGAATATATATACGTTGTTTCGTTGGCTTTGGTTGGATTCGCTTTCTTCTATTGCCTTTTGGTGTAGTCTTTTCGAGATCTTGCACTGCAGATTCTGTAGCAAGTGCTCGATTTAACAGATTCTTCCATAGCATCTGGCAACGATACGACAGACACTGGATTCCAATAGATTGGAACACCATTTTCTGTTTCAAACTCCTACTAGGCTCTACGCTGAAAGAAATTGGCCCATTGGGAGTCCAATGTGTAGTTCGCCCCCACCTATCGTGATTTCTCTTCCGCGAAACTTGTTGCATGCGGAGAGAATTCGTTCTAGGCCTTTGTTTGCCCAAATTGCTATTGGTACATCGTTGTTTTCCACAAGCACTCTGTAGGAAGTCTTGCTGGAGTCCCATTTGGATTTCTGTATACCATCCAAGAACGGAATAGTTTTTTCACCCGAAGGCAAGACAGGCTTAATTGTGCTAGGAGGAGAGGCCGTTTTCGACTGTTTCCTGTGCTTTTTTGAAATCTCTGCATAGTGTCTTTTGGCAGCGACAATCTCTTCGAGGTGATGGACTTCCTCCATTCGCTTTTTCTTCGTTCTGTTTGTATTCCTCTCAGCGATCGACTCTAAGGCGATTCCATGCATCTCACGCCATTCTTCTGCATTGGCAGCATGCAAAATCTCTTCCAATCGTCTTTCGCGATCTCTCGTCGACCAAGACAGTATAGTACGATCGGCCCCGATTTCGGCACCTCCTCTATCTCAGATTTCGAAGTTTCTATGCCGATGGCGCTTTTGGGCTTTTTCGCGCATTCGAAAGCAACATGTTTGTTCGGGGTAGCATCAGATCTGGATTTGGGCCTTGGAGATGTAGCTGTGTCGGCCTCACGACTTCGAGATAGTATAGCCTCGTGATGGGGAGCTTTTGTGTAGCATCGTAGTGGGCCTATTTCTACTCCTGTAGCTGTGGCAGCCAAAATGTCTACTCGAATAGAGGACACGATCGAACCCAAAATCAGCTGTAGCCCATTCTACAGCGTGGTTCCATCTAGCATCGCCTTCCACGCTGGCTTTGGTTGGTTGTATTTGGATTCGAAACTCTTCCCGCGTCCGCAGTGTGCATACCAGCCCACGAAGATAGTCCCCTGGGGTCTGTCTGCAAGCACCATGCAACGGTCTAGACATTTTCGATAGATTCTCCCACTGTTTTGCTGGTGGTTGTACTACAAATAGGTTTTCCCCGAGAACAACTCTAGTGCTTCATCCACCAAATCGTTGGCCATTGTGGTGTTGGTTCTATGCGCCGCATAAAGAGACCTCTATGAAAGTACAACCTCTAGCCTGGACATCTGGATGGAGAAAGGTTTTCCGCAGGTGTTCGTTGGAGCAATCCGCATAGTCGGCCAAATGGCCACCGATGTGCTCTCGCACTTCTCCGGCTTCAAATTGGAAACTACTTTGTTGTAGATTTTGTTCGCATGGTATAGCCATTCCAGGTTCCAGCCCAAGTACAGACGTGGTTGCCTACACTTCTTGTATTGTCCAGGATGGTGGGTCCCTCGCAGTCCATGGCAGTTGCAAGATCTCTTTGGTTTCGAAAGTCGTGTATCCTTTGGAGGTATTCCACGAGACACTTTCTATCTAGGGTGCCAGAGAAATCCTTGGTATAGTCGATAGAATACAGGCCAAAGCCATGTGCCAATAGAAATCGTTCAATTTGGAAATATTGGCTTGTATTTGTTCCATAGGTATTTCCGAGACATCTACTTTTGCCACGAATATTCGAATATCGGTCGCTTCTACGTGTAGAGATTCCCATTGTATCTTTGCCGCAGAATTGGTTTCTTTCTCGATTCTTCGTTACAGTGTCCGCATTGCAGAGGGGGCATCTATGGTATATTGTAGCGTATGTAACGATTTTGGTTTGCACGTAGCCTTCCTCTTGCCCGAAAAGATTCCCGTACTGCACTCGCTATATTGGAAACTACAATAGATGCTGTTCCTTTTTCTCCGATGGTGCAATACACGGCTCCTTTTTATAGACACAGTCTTTTCTACCGAAGATAGCCAAATACATATATATCGTCCACAAATGTAGGTAGGCCTTCCAGTGGTTGGAGGTTTGTTTTGCCGAGATGGCCATCGAGATAGTCTACACGGGCAATGTCCGGGAGAAGATTGCTTCCCACGGTATTTTCCAGTAGGAGGTGGTATGCCACTGCTTTTTCGACTCGCAAGCCCATATTTTCGAAAGTTGCTTCGGTTGCCATATTTCTGGAAATACGAATAGGTCGCTGTATACATGCTTGGGCACCAAATGTCTAAATGGAAAATCTCGAAATGTTGGGCTTTTTTGGTCCCATTGCATTGGGGTTGCTGAAACTCATGGTGCCCTACAGATTTTAAGGCTCCTATAATTACGAACACCAAAGAGATCATAGGCGATTCACATTAAACTGTTTCGTCGAGGTAAACATGGCATAGTGGCACGATGATGCAATCCCAGGATACCAACATACTTCAATCATGTCACCGGTAGCTCAGTGGCGCGTACATGTGGAGTTCGTATCCCGCTAGCGTCCCAAACTTTTTTATAGTAGGGGTAATGGTAGCAAGAGCTAAGGGTCCGACCAAAGCCTTATTTGGGGAATAAGGCTTTGCAGAGGCTTTTGTTGGACCTGGTCCCGTACAATCATTCCCTCTACTACTATTTACATTTTTATATATCTTAATTCAATGATCAGTACTGCAGTAAACATTTATTGCAAATATGTATTGTTCGTATGAATAGCCTACTGTAGACAACCGATATTGTAAACACTTTGGTCATGGTGGTACTTGGTCATTTCTATGCTGACGGATGTGTCGATCATTCGGATCAGTCGAACTTCCCCCTTGGTCCTGATGAGTTTGACACAACAGGTTTGACTGTATAATTATAATCTGCTGTTGGCCTGGGGATGAAGATTTTACTTAAGAAGATTCTTTGATAAATCCTTGCTCACTACTTCTTTCAGGTGAGTTGAATAGACACAAAACGACTTCTAAAACTATCCCGTGAATCTAAAGGGACCAGTTAGAAGACATTTGAAGGATGGATAGATAGCTGGAACTATCGACGTGACTTGCTTTATAGAAAACACAACAGTATGCTGTCCGAACACGTGCAAACAATGCCATTGGGACGATACCATTGGGTGACAAACTGGGTTGATATGTTGTCATGACACATAGTAAAACTTTTGATAGCACAACCAAAGTAGGGCGTGGGTAGGTAGTGCAATAATTCTTCACAGCTCGTTGTAATAGGACACACCATATATAGTATGAGCAGAAATTATTGAGAATTTCAGGAATATGTTTAATTGAATTTCTAATATAAACAACCTTGACCAGCTATCAAGTGCTTTGTTTCATTCAAGAGAGACAACTCCGTTAATCTTTTTTCATTAGTTTGTGAAGAGTTACCCCCCTTTGTTTACTTGCTAGCAGACAACATTTTCAGTGATCCTCAGTATGGATGATTTAGAGAAGAGGAAGTTGATTTTAGAGTATTATAACAAGGACATCAGATCAGCTAAAGTGATTTCAAGTAGAACAGGCATCCCTTTGTCCACTGTTTATCGTGTTTTGAAAAATATTGCAAATGGATATGGCATTGAGCACCAGGGAGGCGCAGATAGGCCCAGAAAATTGACTGTCAGTGACAGGAGGCGGCTTGGTACTCTTGTTTCTAAAAACAAACGAAGGAGTTTAGAAAACGTAAGGCTGGATATGATTGATAGAGGAATTGTGACTGTCTGTAAGGAGACAATTAGAACTGAGCTGCATGCAATGGGTTGGCAGAAAAGTCAAGGAATTCCATTACCGATCATGAAACCTGAACAAAAGGAGCGACGGTTGAACTGGTGCTTACAGCATAGAAATTTTAACTGGGACAATGTGATTTTCTCAGATGAAAGTTCTGTGTGGCTGTTTCCTAATACACTGAAATTCTGGACCAAACAAACTGAAAACCTTTGTATCAGCGCCCAAAGTACAGTCCGAAATTTAACGTGTGGGGTGGCATATCTGTGTTAGGGGCAACGCCCCTAAGTGTATTTGAAGGGAATATGAACAGTGAGCGGTACACAGATATTCTTGAGGGACATTTACTTCCATCTGCTCAAGTGTTCTATGGAAACGTTTTGATTTTCCAGCAGGACAACGACCCAAAACATCGTTCAAAGCATTCACAGGTCTGGTTTCGGACCCAAAATATGACATTATTAGATTGGCCAAGCTATAGCCCTGACCTAAATCCAATAGAAAATGTTTGAGGACTTATGAAGGAAAGTGTCAATAAGATCAATCAGACAAATATTGCTGAAATGAAAGAAGAGGTGGTCCGATTTTGGGACAGCATGGACCACGACTTTCTAACTTCTTTGATCAGTAGTATGCCCCGCCGCATTGAAGCCTGCATTGCTGCCCATGGTGACTTGACAAAATACTAACTGTTCACCTGTCTTTGAATCTGGAGTTATGTTCTGCTGATATTCACATTTAATACGTGAGTAATGAGAGAAAAAAATACAAAAATTACAATCTTTAAATCCTCAATAATTTCTGGTTGTACTGTAGCTAGCTACAACAGAGCTAAACTGTTGATAGGTTTGATAATCCATTTTAATATATCATATTTGGATTCTTATCATATTTACATATGTTTTACCTGAATTACTTTATCACATTACATTAAGCATACTGCCTAAAGAAATTCACATTTAGTCAATGTAGTGTAGATCCTACTGCACAACAGGCATATTGTTGTAACTCCATGCATGTAGTGTAGATCCTACTGCACAACAGGCATATTGTTGTAACTCCACGCATGTAGTGTGTATGAGTGTGGTGATATACCTGTATACAGGACACATTAGCGGGTAATACAGGTTTGCATACACTATGTCCTCACTCACCTTGTCATAGTCCATCTGTGCAGAGCTCCCTGCAAACAGCCGATGCGCCAACATCTTCCCTGCCTTAATAGCTACTGGGGTTAGTTCAGGGCGTTCCTACAACCACAGACCACAGTGAACAATCATCCACAAAGACAGAGTGAGTGAGAATGGTTTAACGCTGCTTTTAGCAATATTCCAGCAACATCATGGCAGAGGCCATCAGTGGGCTTCACACATTGCAACCATGTCTGGAATCGAACCAGGGCCTTCAGCAATACAGGCGAATGCTTTAACCACTAAGCTACCCCACATCCTCCACAAGGAAAGGACAAACTTACATCCAATCAGAGTCAATGTCATGTGAGAGATTGTGGACAGAAACTTACATGTAGGACATCCCCAATGCCATAGATGTTGTCGACCGACGTCCTCTCGTGGTCCCCGCCATGACCTCCGATGATCTTGTTGGTGGTCTCATCCAGTGCCACGCCCACCTGATTCAGCCCCAGGGAATGTGTCTCCGGTCGCCTGCCTGAAAGCATTGTCTTTGTTGTCAGGTGGCAAATACAGAGAACATGGGTCAGGTCTAATGCAGCGGTCTAAAGTGGGTCTTCAGTTCAACTGACTCTCAGATGGGGAGAGTAGGTCTTCAGTTCCACTGACTCTCAGATGTGGAGAGTAGGTCTTCAGGTCCACTGACTCTCAGATGTGGAGAGTAGGTCTTCAGTTCCACTGACTCTCAGATGTGGAGAGTAGGTCTTCAGTTCCACAACTCTCAGATGTGGAAAGTAGGTCTTCAGTTCCACTGACTCTCAGATGTGGAGAGTAGGTCTTCAGTTCCACAACTCTCAGATGTGGAAAGTAGGTCTTCAGTTCCACTGACTCTCAGATGTGGAGAGTAGGTCTTCAGTTCCAGGACTCTCAGATGTGGAGAGTAGGTCTTCAGTTCCACTGACTCTCAGATGTGGAGAGTAGGTCTTCAGTTCCACAACTCTCAGATGTGGAAAGTAGGTCTTCAGTTCCACTGACTCTCAGATGTGGAGAGTAGGTCTTCAGTTCCACTGACTCTCAGTTGTGGAGAGTAGGTCTTCAGTTCCACTGACTCTCAGTTGTGGAGAGTTTGGAGGCTCTAGTACCTATATTACCTGGTGTACTATATCAAATTACATTTAACATAATGCATCAGGAAAATTCACATCTAGTCAATATAGTATATATTTCAACAGGGGTACTCTCATAGGTTTCCATAATAATTTGGTTCCTTTAATGTTGTAGCAATATCATTGCTGTCTGCCCAAACTGAGTCTGAACCAGATAATCCAGTGATTGATATGAGCTGACACACTATCAACGAAATCACTAAAATCAACAAGAACCAGTAATTGATATCAAGTGACCCCAAATCATCAGCGTACCATACCATGTCAAGTGCAAGAGCCTGGCTACCAGACCACCATCAGCACACACGGTAGAGGTGACGTGTAATACTGACCAACAGCCATGAGTATGGTGTCGAACACGTCCTTGTGCGTGACACCCTTGCCATCAGTGTAGGTCACCAACAGTCGGCCATCGTCTCTCTTCTGGATCTGTTCTGGGACGCACTGTCTCAAGAAGTTGGTGCCATTGTTCTCCATGTAATCAACTACCAGGTTGGCCAGTTGCTGCCAATCAGAGAACACATCCATAAAACAGTCTCTCCTCGCCTTGCAAGGAAACAGCTTCACAAGAAAATATTGCCTTACCAGGAAACAGTGTCTCCTCAATATGTTGCCTTACCAGGAAACAGTGTCTCCTCAATATGTTGCCTTAATAGGAAACAGTCTGTCCTCAATATGTTGCCTTGATAGGAAACAGTCTGTCCTCAATGTGTCCCCAGAATATGTGGCCTTACCAAAACTGTTTTACCTGAATATGTGGCCTTAACAGGAAACTGTTTCACTTTAAAATGTGGCCTTTCTAGGAAATAGCCTCAGTATACTATGTTCATATTGCAGTGTTCTGCAGTCACATCTATTAACAGCTACAGTGCATGGTCATTACTGTCTCATGTACAGCCGACAGTTCCAGGTCATGCTACAGCAGTGTAGTGACTAACCTGGTCGAAGCCCCGCAGTGGAATGGACCTGATCATGATGGTGGTGTCGAAACCCAGGCCGGTGAGGAAGCCCCCACACTCCATGCCGATGTCTGCACACGAGTCAGGGACATTTGTTGGGTAATATTGGTGGGTAATATTGATGGGTAATATTGGTTGGTAATATTGGTGGGTAATATTGATGGGTAATATTGGTAGGTAATATTGTTGGGTAATATTGATGGGTAACATTGGTAGGTAATATTGGTGGGTAATACTGGTGGGTAATATTGATGGGTAATATTGCAGATAATGAAGATGTTTAATGCTGCTTGTAGAAATATTCAAGCTATGTCACAAATCAAAATGGACCAACAGACCAGTGATTGACATCATGAGCATCAGTCAATGCAGTCTGGATATGATGACATGTCAATGACCAACTGTCTGTAGAACTGTCATCAACCAACATGCACAACTGTCATCAGTCTACCTGTGCAACTGTGTGTCTGTCTGACAAAGGATACAACTACCTCCAACAACTAACCTGAAATTAAACAGAAAACACTGATCTAACATCATATCTACGTAATTACTAGCAGCATCAAGTTACCCTAGAAAGCAGCTGTGGCAAGTCAAAAAGTGTCCTTACTTTTGCTTCAAAGGGGACATCGTATCACTTCGCATAAACATACAAACATTCACACTTGACAACGAAACAAGAACTTGTATCGAAACGTTATGCTCTAGAATTAAAGAAGTTGTCATCCATATATACTTGTTCCATTTGACTTCCAACTTCTAAAATGCCCCTCAAAGAAGTTATACGTATCTATTTTCTGTCAACTACACTTCATGTCGAGGCGTGAGTAGACGCAAACATACTTCCGTTTTACATCCAAGATATAAAAAAAAGTTTCCTTGCTGTAACCTACGTTTTTCCAGGGGGTTTCTTCATCCAGAAAATGTCATCACTAGATATAGTGTACTCAGCAGCCCCGGGTATCTGTATAGAACATGACGTGTACTACATGGAACACAACTGCTTATTGTCATAGATGACAAATAAAGACGGCAAATGATTCCAATTGATGATGATGTTTTAAGCTAGCTGAAGAGTCATAATCATTTTTCACCAATGACTCCAAAACTGCATAATGGTTCCTTTGTCTTTGATTAAGCATAACTGAATAGTCAGTTAATACTTTTATAGTTGCAATGACAAATATTCTTGTTTATAGTCCGTCAACTTAACTTTTGGCACCCTGTTTTTCACAATTTACATAAAACTCCTGAATATATTAAAACGCTACTCTGTTCGTATGGTAATTGTGTACTGTGACCTAACAAGACATCGATTTTAGTAATTCTAAAACGATTATGAAAGATTTTGCCTTTAAACCTGTCATATAATAATTGTAAAACTGTGGAGAGTTTTACGAGGGGTTAACGCACGTGATGGAATAGCCAACATCATTGTAAAATGTGTGTCAGCGGGATTTGTACATGTATGGGTATTTACATAAGCACGCTCAAGTGATGTCAAAGATCGTCAACACACAGGTTGTGGTAAAAACGATGTTGTACAAAGATGACCGGTAAATCATCAAAAGAGATTACAACTTTTTCAAGCGCAAGGCAAAGCAAAAAAAACCCTCTTTTTTCAATTGAGTGTTTCTCCAAAAGACACTTAATGCCACCAAGATCTGCAAAAGAACATAGCAAAGAGTTATCTCCCATGACACTATTTCAGATATTGACGATGACATGGCAGCTAAATTGGGGACCGTCTCAAAACATGCAAAGAAAAGATAACTTGAAGAAATTAGATAGAAGGGTTGTGAGGGACGTCATGCGTCGGTTAGATCGATCCAGTGAGTCCATATCGTCAAGCAAACTGAAGAAAATATTGTTCAAAAGAAGACCATGACATCAATGTATCAAAGCATACCATATGCACGCTGTTGCTCAAATTTGGATCTTGATACAAGAAATTGAGCAACCAGTATTTAAAGACTTCAATAAATCTACTTGTTTAAAATGGATTTGTGATGATTATACAGTCCCTTTAGATTTGCTTGCAGGCGTAACAATGCAAACAAGATGCATGTGTGTCACAACATGTTGTTTGCCGTTCCATCGTATCATTTTACTCCATTGTATAACTACTTTTATTTTTCATATTTTTATAAGATGGCTTCTTAATAAGAAGCTTTAATATTTGACATAAAATTATGAAATTTAAACCTTAGATAGGTCATAATATATAAAGAGCGTATGCCTAAAAACATTTTGAAGCCATTATTGGTTAAAAGGTAAATTGTGAAAAACAGGGTGCCAAAAGTTCAGTTGACAGACTATAGCCTATCACTTCCCTTGATGATAAAAAATTAGTTTCATGAAAAATGTGTTTGAAGCAGAACATGAGCCAAGCAAAATCCTCACTGAACTCTTGTGAATGTGGTCTTGACATGGCAATAAAGAACAAACTTGTACTGTCTGTCTCCAGTTCGCATTTAAGCTGACTTCCAATAACACCAAACACTCAAGACACGAGGCGGGTTGCTTGCTGCTTCTCCACATCACGTGTAGACCTTTTTATTTTCAAAACAGTTTCAGCGTACAGACTGCGCATGTCCAGTTGTATGCAAATTGGGTAAACACAAAACCATATAACCCAAAACGGAATGCGATTGATTATGTCAAACACTACAAAACTGTTATGAATACACAATGGCATTTTAGAAATTTGTCAATTTCATTAAAGTTAACAATTCAGTTCTTATTCACATCAGGACTAAGGGACTGGGGGGTGGGGGTGATGATGATGATTTTAATGGGGGTCACCCATTTTGTTCTGGGGAGGTAGGGGGGGTCATCAATTTTCTACGCATGTACTAGGGGTGGGGGCAGCAATTTTGTACATAGAAATATTTAAAAATTATGTTTAAAAACTATGGGAAGGGAGTGGGAGCCATTGATTTTGTACCAACCATACACTTACTTTGTACATAAACTATAGGGGATCATTCACATCGCACAGGCTTCTCCATGAAAATCATCATCACCCCCCTAGCCATAAATTGTGAACGGTCCCTAATAGTGAATTTAGGAAGGATGAAATATGTGTTTTGGGGAGTATGTTTAGCGTTAGTTTATGTACAAGACTTGACAGCACTATATGTGAACGAGGTGAGATGAGAGTTACATGACCTACCTCAGCTGGGAGAAAAGGTCGGCCTCCCACTGCTATCACAATGTTGTCTGCTTCCACCACTTTCTGTCATTAAACACACAAGATGGTCAACATTCTTTTCCTGCTGTGTGTTACAATGTATGCAGTACAACTTAATAACATTTTATATGGCGGTGAATATGAGATGGCTCATCAGCCTCGTCGTAGAGACTATATACAGGCAAAGTTCTAAAAGACAGAATCTAAATTTGCAGCTCCACCATAGACAATACAGAACTGCCACAGTGTTCAGAATAAGAAAGAGGTGCTTCTAAATATAGCTACACGCTCTGTAGCTCACACGACACATAAAGAAAACAGTGAGTGAGTGAGTGAGAGTGAATAAGTGGAGTGAGTAGGTGAGGTGAGGTGAGGTGAAATGGGGTTTAACGTCGTACTTCGCTCATATGATGATGTGCATTCGTGTGTAGGTGTGGCTGCTTGTACTAGCCCAGACTTAATCTGGTTTTATAGTGCTAGCCCACTGAGATACCACGCTGGTGGGTTTGGTGGGTGGGTGTACCCATGAGCGAATGCTTTAACCATTAGGCTATCCCACTGCCCCAATGTCATTTTGAACTGAAATGCCAAAGTAACGGCTGAAAAAACGTTTTGTTCAATATGGCTGTAGTGGCCATTAAAATGAAACTCTTTAAAAGTGTGGTGTCATCCTTCAAGGGAACAATGCATGAAAAGTTTCACCGGTGTCTGAGGAGAAGATGTTTCTGTTGCACTGAACAAACATAAGTGAGGTGAACAACATGAAACATTTTCAATATGGCTGCCATGACACCCATGTTAAAAACCAGTATAGGAATTCTGTGATCAAATTTTAGGGACATCATAAGCTAGCACATTTTCTTCATCTCAAAATGAACTAACCTCTTTCCCTTTGGTGTCCACGGCCTCGATGGTGTGTTTATCCAGTAAGGTTCCGTATGCATTGAGATATGTTACATTCCTGGAAGAAAACAACAAGGTTGTCACTTCCAAAGGCATGTCTAGCTCTTATTTTCATCTAAAGTATATTTCTGACACTAAGTCACGTGCCAGCAGGGTCCTATAAAGAGCCTGGTCGTGACTACCCAGCTTATAGTTTTGTGTGTATACATGTGTGTTTGTCATTTAATGCCGCACTCAGTATTATTCCAGCTGAGAATACAAATAACTGAGTCTTGACCAGCTGATCCAGTGATGAATATGAGGAACAATGATCCATGTCATTGGTAACATTCAATCAACCAGGTCAGTGACCATATACAGACATGCATCCTATGACCAATATGGAATGCAACAACCACTTCCCTGGGGATCCTCTGATACCCAAATGACTTGGATATATTTCTGTTCAATGACAAAAATATGTTTTCAGTGAGTGGATCAAGATATAAAACAATTATTTTTCCATTTTGTTGGTTCCAGAAGTTGATAATGGAAGATATACTGACTTGTCTTGAAGCTGTACCCGATGGCCCCAGTTGAGAGACTTGACGTAGCTCTGCACAGCATCACACATGCCTTGCCTGCAGGTAAAGACACAGATCAACGTGTACAACAACCAGTTCACATGACTACTACTCAGATTTGTGTCTCCTACGCATGTGAGAAAGCTATGATCAAATTTTGGAATTCATATTTGCTTGAATCGTTGAGAGGTTTGTGAGCAAGATAACTGGGTTTCAAAGAGGTCACAAGTTTTAAGAGCTGTATCACTTCAGGCTGTGCTCACACACCCAGTTGATGGGATATACACTTCAACATTGTCCACCCCACCATTTTCTCAACAAATGGGCTACGTCAAATTCAGAAACTGGCTAAAACAAACATGCTTTGAGATATCTCTGTGCAAGACTCACCATGAGTGCTGAATGTTTGACGGAACCTCCCTACCCTGTGCCCGAGTATCAATGATGACCTGTCTCAGACAGAGCAAGACTCACCATGAGTGCTGAATGTCTGGTGGAACCTCCCTACCCTGTGCCCGAGTATCAATGATGACCTGTCTCAGACAGAGCAAGACTCACCATGAGTGCTGAATGTCTGACGGAACCTCCCCACCCTATGCCCGAGTATCAATGATGACCTGTCTCAGACAGAGCAAGATTCACCATGAGTGCTGAATGTTTGACGGAACCTCCCTACCCTGTGCCCGAGCATCAATGATGACCTGTCTCAGACAGAGCAAGATTCACCATGAGTGCTGAATGTCTGGTGGAACCTCCCAGCCATATGCCCGAATCACTGATGACATCTCCCAGAAAGTGCAAGACTCACCATGAGTGCTGAATGTCCAGCGGCACCTCCCAGCCGTATGCCCGAGCGTCACTGATGGCATGTCCCAACAAGGCGGCCTGGTGCATCAGCTTCTTCGGGATACAGCCGACATTAACACATGTTCCTCCAAGACCCCACTTGGTGCCTGCAGTCACCAACAATAAATAATCTCCATCATGGAACAAAAGAAATTAACCTTTATCATGCTAATGTTCCCGTATTGGAAGATGTTATAAAAGGCTTTGCCTGTAGTCACCAACATTTAAGTTATTCCACATTTACCAAATTGATAATAAAACCACAGGAACACTGTCATGTAGAATGCAGATGTGATTTCTGGATTTGAAATTATCAAAGGTCAGTTAAACAATGACACCTCGAAATCTTGGTCAAGGTCAAGGTCAAGGTGAAGTGACCACAACCTTCATCACAGGGTAGATGGTAACTTTGGTGCACAACAAGACAAGACGAAGGTGAAAAAACAAACTGCATCCCAGGATATGATCATTTGTTTGGGAAAAACAATCTTTGAAGGCTAAAGAAAGGATGGTAGCTAGATGAAAAATTTATGAATGGATGGTTATACAGAATAATCCAGTGATGAAGCAATGGTATGTGAGCAGAAAACTGAGTGAGCATCTAAATGGGAATTGCATGGTGGAAACATGACATATCAATTTTGAATTTCATCTGAGTTTTGAAACATGTAAAGTCAATGGAATGACAACTGAAGGTAATAATATTACTTCCTGACACAATCACAAAAATGTTTTACCTCTCGGAGATGGAATGACATAGTCCAGGACTGCAACCTTCTTCCCCAAACCAGCGGCTGAAAACAAAGAGAAATAGTGAGTGAGGTGGTGAGGTGAGGTGAGGTGAGGTGAGGTGTGGTGTGATGAGATGAGGTGAGGCATGGTGAGGTGAGGTGAGGCAACGCAAGGCGAGGCTTGAGGTGTGGTGTGGTGAGGTGAGGTGTGGAGTGGTGAGGTGAGGTGTGATGAGTTGAGGTGTGGTGAAATTAGGTGAGATGTGGTGAGGTGAGTGAGGTTAAGGTGAAAGATTGGTTGTGAGGTGAGGTGAGGTGAGTGAGTGAGGTTAAGGTGAGTGAGTGAGGTGAGTGACAAATGATAGAGTGACTGAAATCTTTAGGAAGTCAGCAATATTAATGTTAGAAAGTAATAAGACATAAGTGGTTGACAGTCTGAGCAACAATGTGATGTTACACTCGCACGTCACCCTCTTTAACTTAGAAACATTGAGAAGATGGAGCCATGAAGTGTTGAAAAAGCTCACCTGAAGCTAAGTATTAGTATCCGAATGTGAACTCAGATCAACTTCATTCATGCTGAGGCACATAAGACATGCCCAACTATAGCTCCAAATGACAACAGATTTGTTTAATGTATGCATATTGAACAACACATAAAACTGAACATGATACATCAGCCATAGGCTGCATGGACTTCAAACTACCCCATAAAATACTGTTTCAATAACAGACAAACAATTCGCTGAGTGAAAGTGAGAAAATAATTGAAGCTCCAAGCAAAGCATCACACAATATTGTGGTATCTTGTTGACAATTTACCATGATGTAGTCACAGGAGCTACAAATATACATCAAACATTTTTACCTTCTTTGGAACAAGCGAGCCCTCCACTGCCGCCTCCAACCACAACAAGGTCATACTTCTCACTGGCGGGAGCTGAAAATTACAAATGGATACAAATAACAAACACTGAGTATCTGATGAGAGTGTTTGAATTCCTAAAAATGATTCAATTGTATTTGTGTTGTTTGTTTGTTCTTTAACACTCAGGAATTTTCCAGCTATATATATCGGTCTGTAAATACTCGAGTCTGGACCAGACAATCATGGACATCATAAACATCAATTTACACAATTGGGATATGATGACAGGTGTCAACCAGTGAGTCTGGCCACCTTATCCTGTTAGTCGCCTCTTACGACAAGTATGGGTTGCTGAAGACCAAATCTGATCTTTAAGGTGAAGTCAACTGTAACATGAGTTCCAAACTGAATTAATATTTCTGTTCACACTATCCAGAACTGACTGTGTTTGAATCGAAACTACCAGTGCATGGTGTAACAAATGTATGGTATATAACACCCTCACTCATCTTATCCCAAACTGCAAACTATACATAGACACAAGCATTTTTCAAGAAGTCTTTATATGCTTTAAATACCATAATTCCATATCCAGAATGGAATATCAGAATACCAAAGGCGTAAATAACATGTAATAAGTTCCTTATTGGGTGTTAACATTCCTAGATTGCTTTCAAGTAGAACAAAATATTATCTTCAGTGATATAGACACCTTATGATAATGAAGTAATGCTATGTTTTTTTAACTTCTTGCTATGCTACCAAAAGTGACACCTATCGGATGATCGAAGAATGAGAAGTTGTCTATCATACCATGGGATTTGTATACAAGACTTAAAGCATCAAGCTGTAGGTGAACATCATTATTACACACAGTAATCAACCACTGAGTACGAACAGATGATAACAAACTTGGTCAATAAAATGTTAAGTTTGAGATCAAGTATCACTAGAGATGATGATTTACCATTACAGTTATACTTCCTATTCTGTGCCCTTAGAGCTGAAAACTGCCATGACTTTTCATCTTTCAAGACCGCACTAAAGAGTCATCTGTTTCGTCTCGCCTATCCTTTAAACTAAAAGCTTTGTCTTTCTCTTATTTTCCAGTGTTTTGAGCATACTAATGTGTGGAAAATGTCGCTTAACAAGTGGATTATTATCATATATTATTATAAACTAGGCCGGAATCTAGAAATCAGCTGAAAACACATTTTTCACTATATATAATTGATACACTCATGAAGTTATTCTGCATAGTTATAGTAATATGAGGGCTTCCACCGGCAACTAATAATTGTAATAAAGTCATTAAATGAGCATCAAGTGAATAAACATGGATATCAAGAAGGGAGCACTAATTGCATGAAAAAGTAAGGTCATCACTGTTTTAAGTACATTAACTGAACTCCACTTTTCTTCCCAAAATAAGAAGTACCGGGTACATGTAATTGCTGTAAACTGTAGTACATCATTGTACATACACATTTATACAGATATACAAATTTGCAAGGTGAAAGGTTTGGGTAAGCATAATCCGATATATATGAGAATTCCAGGGGATCTCTCTCTTATTAGTTGACTATCCATAAACTTGGTTTTCCTTGTAGTTATGTTGTTTAGCAGACGTCGGAAAGTACAATAGCATCAGTAAATTTACTGTTTTGATGCTATTCCTCAATCTCCCCAATAACAAATGATATATTCCTTGACAAGTCAGCAGGGAGCATAAAACATTTTAAGTTTTCTTTATGTATATGGTCTCTGTTTATATGTCACATTTTCATTAGGTCAATTAAATAATCCAGACTTCAAGACATTAACAGGGATGCCAGACAGTCTTATCCACATTTGTCAGTAGTCGAGGTTCGTTTTCACAAAATGATCAGAACTGACAGAAAGACAAATAGTGGATAAAATCAGAGACCAGTATATGGTCTCCGATAAAATCTTGACAAGCATAATGTTGAACACCATGGAAACACAATGTCAGTGTATGACAGTTACAGACAATATACGATAAGGAAAGTCTTGTTTAGAAACTGCAGTTACTACCAGAAAATAATCTAAAGTGGCTGCTCAACGTCCTTTTTATTTTCCGTAAACATTCAGAATTTGCCCTTGCCCAAACGGGGGCTGCCATTTTGAGCAGGTCTGAGGGAGACATAAGATTGACGAATCGGCAAATACGTAAGATAAAACAAATACCGACTTAAGTCAACTCCTATGAAATTGATATTACATATATATTGACTAACAATCCCAGTTTTACAAAATGCTTAGTTTTAAGGAAGGCTTTAATAAAATTGGTGACATACCTTTTACACACACTAATTTACCCCTATAAGTATATTCTAAATTTTGTCTCATTGAAAATACGAAATACAATTTGAAGTGAAATACAGTTCGCCTTCTTAAATACATTAACTGAGATATTTTCTATTGACCAATTATGAATAAAATATCGTTAGAATATACTTTGATGACCAGGAATATGCATGATAATAAATCCAACTGATTTCGAATCCTACAAGTTTTGTATTTTGAAATAATCGATGTAAACTTCCGCTCACATGCAGTCGCAGAACGAATTTGTCATTAAAAGTCAAATCACACATGCTACAGGTTGACGGGAATCGACAGCTGTTCCCTTCTGTCCACGAAGTCAGTAGTTGAACTTGATGGTACCTGCGTGAATTACTGTTTAGTTTTTGTTGTCGCTTATTTGCAGAATAATCACTGTTGCAGCTTTGAACACAAGCGTTGTGCAATTCACAATCGGATCAAATCTTTTTAAAGCCGGCGCAGTCCTCGGATCAGGGTACACTGGTCGATGCAGTTAAAGGTACACTCAAATAATATTGTGTCAGAGAGCATAACATATTTTATTATATGGTATCTACTGCTATGAGCCTTTCACAAGCAAATCCGTTTTCATCTGTGGTCATCTTTCATCGTCATTATGGGCAGACGATGTTTTGAGAGCGGACATTCTTACAATCAATATTAGCGACAATTATATAACATAGTTTTGGTATCACGTGACTTAGCATTGAGCTTCACCTGCTGTGTTCTGCAAAATTGAAGATTTAGGCACCATGACTTTGTGTTTTGTTTCCTGGCAAATTTTCTTTAAACATATTCCATGTTTGGAAAATGTGTACTAAATGGCTGACAAGTTTCAGATGTATAAAAAAGTAAAGGAAGTGTTGTAAATTCATATGGTCAGCAATAAGTGTGATATATAAGTGTGATATATAAGTATGATATATAAGTGTGATATGTAAGTATGATATATAAGTATGATATGTAAGTGTGATATGTAAGTATGATATATAAGTATGATATAGAACTTTGATATATAAGTATGATATATAAGTGTGATATATAAGTATGATAATAAGTACCACACCATCTTAATAGTTACACCCTTGTCCTTCTGCCTGTCTGTTGCTGTGACAATGGCCATGTGTATATAATACATTCTTAATTTATACAAAACAACAGGTATCTGGTATACAGCCAAGATGTGTATCTTGTTCTTTCAACTGAATGATAAAGGTGAATGTGGTACCTACCGCCTAGTTCTTGCCAACAACCGAGATGAGTACTGGGCACGACCTACGTCTACAGCAGCGTACTGGGGGGAGAATGACAACTGCCTGAGTAGTAAGATTTCTCAATTAGGACAATTCTGCCAATCAAAATAGAATGTTGGAATAACATCTAACATACGTGAAATCAACATATTTTACAGGAAAAAAATGATTCATAAATTATAATAATAAAATATGATGAAAAGGAACCCAGAGACTGTCTTCATTTTCCGAAACTGTGGTAATCAAGATTTGCCACATATTTTAGACTTGCATGGGCGTTCTTGGATGTATTTGTTTCAGAGTCAATGTGACAGACTAATAGAATGCCATCTGAGCATCTTTCAGCATCATGGATCACACAGATATTCTACAGACAAAAGTTCAAAGTTGATGCTTGTTTTAAGCATGTTGAAGTATTTCATTCCTAGCAGTTAAACTCTGTAAAATCCGAGGAACATGCCTTACCACTGAGCTGGCTTGTGTTGTTGTTGAGCAGGTTTGGACCAGGAACCAGGCAGAGAGGGTGGAACTTGGATGGGGATCAACAAACAGGGCAAGATAGGAGTTCTCCTCAACATCCTTGGAGAAAACCTCCCAAACAGGAAAGGAAGAGGTAACACTTGTCAAATGCTATACTTACGTCCATTAAAATATACCAGGACTTACATGATAATGGGTATTTTGTGAATTTCTGCAGAATTTTGAGGGATTCTACAGATTTGTAATGCATTTCCTAAATAATTTTAGTAGGCCATTATGACAAGACTCTTTCAGACCACTGTCAACCCTGTTACACCAAATTATGTACTATTATCTTCACACTATACCAGATCATTTCGAGACAAATATGTGTGTCAGTTACTGGGATTACACATCATAAAACACATGTTGCACAAAGAAGAGTAGGTGCTTTCAGTGAAAGTGGGAGTTCGTTACCCCAAACACTCAGATTCTACTCCCCACATGCTTACATTATGTTGTTCTGTCAACCCTGTCATTCTTGGTAGAAAATTGCAAGAAGCTTCATGAAATCAGTCTTACTAACTATTCAAATGAACAAAGACTTTTACTTCAGGTTTCTTGGCCAGGGATTTCATAGCATCAAACACAAGTGCCGAGACTTTTCTGCAAAACCTGTCTGCAGACGTAGTCACCTCTGAGTACAATGGATTCCACCTTGTTCTCCTAGAAGCAGGGTGAGTACACTTGGCATGCTGGTTGTGTATTATCATGCCCCTATAGGGTGCCCCATTGCTGGTTGTGTATTATCATGCCCTTATAGAGTGCCCCATTGCTGGTTGTGTATTATCATGCCCCTATAGAGTGCCCCATTGCTGGTTGTGTGTTATCATGCCCCTATAGACAGCCCCATTGCTGGTTGTGTATTATGATGCCCCTATAGAGTGCCCCATTGCTGGTTCTGTATTATGATGCCCCTATAGAGAGCCCCATTGCTGGTCGTGTATTATGATGCCTCTATAGAGTGCCCTATTGCTGGTTGTGTATTATCATGCCCCTATAGAGTGCCCCATTGCTGGTTGTGTATTATGATGCCCCTATAGACTGTCCCATTGCTGGTTGTGTATTAACATGCCCCTATAGAGTGCCCCATTGCTGGTTGTGTATTATGATGCCCCTATAGAGTGCCCCATTGCTGGTTTTGTATTATCATGCCCCTATAGAGAGCCCCATTGCTGGTTGTGTATTATCATGCCCCTATAGAGTGCCCTATTGCTGGTTGTGTATTATCATGCCCCTATAGAGAGCCCCCTATAGAGAGCCCCATTGCTAGTTGTGTATTATCATGCCCCTATAGAGAGCCCCATTGCTGGTTGTGTATTATCATGCCCTTATAGAGTGCCCCATTGCTGGTTGTGTATTATGATGCCCCTATAGAGTGCCCCATTGCTGGTTGTGTATTATCATTACCCTATAGGGTGCCCCATTGCTGGTTGTGTATCAGATGCCCCTATAGAGTGCCCCATTGCTGGTTGTGTATTATCGTGCCCCATTGCTGGTTGTGTATTATCATGCCCCTATAGAGTGCCCCATTGCTGGTTGTGTATTATCATGCCACTATAGAGTGCCCCATTGCTGGTTGTGTATTATCATGCCCTTATAGAGTGCCCCATTGCTGGTTGTGTATTATCATGTACCATAGTTGTTGTTATATCATTGTGCCCCAGTAGTATATACCATAGTTGTTATATCATTGTGCCCCGGTAGTATGTACCATAGTTGATGTTATATATTTTTTCTTATCCTGACTCATGCTACTTGCTTGTCTTCTTCTCCTTGCAAACACAGTGGAACACTTGTATCTCCCAATTGAAGTTCCCTTCAATGTAAAATCACTAATTAGTACTCACCACGAGTTATCTGTCCCCTCAAAAGCGCAGGAACGAGGGCGCCACCTCCTGCCATGTGCCTCACTCTCTCCTTCTTCGCCGAGTGAGCAGGACGTGAGAGCGCCTGTGTCTCCTTACACATTATATCCTTTATCTATATTTAGTTGTTTACCTCTTATAATCATCTACAGAGGTGTAACTAGTATCCTTATACATGATGCATTGATATTTATTCGTGTTTCTACTGTTTTATTCACGGTTCGCCGTGTTTGCTCAGTAGATTGCGTTAATGAAAATCTGCACTGTTTGTAAATTACGTTTCTCTGCTGCTGATCCGCATTTAATATGCCCTAGTTGAATTACGCCATGCTCTACTGTTTCACGTTGCAATCATTGTATTAAATTATCTAATTCTGCCTTTGATAAATATTTATTTGCGTCTTGAGACGCGCAGCAGATAGATTACGGAAACAGTCTTCAGTCATGGCTAATAGATCAGAGTCTGATATACCATGTCAACTGTTGGCGGATGACCCCCTACCGTCTGGTGTTCCGCGTGGGAAGCAGTCCGCTATCTCCAAGAAGCGACCTGCATCCCAGGACATCCCGTCGTCCCAGTCTAAGACCAGGAGAGCTTCTACGTCGTCACAACGTACGCTCCGCACCCCCAGGGCTACATCTTCGTCGAAAGTGAAACCTACGAAGACTACTAACAATTTTTCATCTGACATTCTTCCTGTTTCAGAATTGGGCTTATATGATGACGATCTACCGATCATCATTCCAGATATACGGCATAAGAAGCGACCAGTATCGGCTACCTATCCTCAGCGCAGATCAACACGCAGCTAGAGATGCCTACACTGACGGCAGAGAATCTACCTGAGGGTCCCGTCGCAACCATACAGAGGGCAGCGGCTACATCAGCGCAGACCGTCCCAGACGACCTGGTCAGCCAGATTATGATGTTGATGGAAGATCGATACGGTTTACAGAGGCCTCAGAGCCGCGGGCCCCAGAGCCCAACCCACTTACAGTCTTGTAGGGCCCCAGATCCCGTTTGCTTGACTTCGCTTAGGGCCCCAGAGCCCACAGACGCGCCTCCACGAAGGGCAACCCAGCCCGTATCGAAGCCTTCGCGAAGGACGCCCCAGTCCCCTCCACGAAGGACCCAGATCCTCACCATCAGCGAAAGGCTTCACGGAGGAGGAGTGCTTCACCGAGCTCAGACCCTGAAGAACACAGAGGTCGTTCGCGAAGCAAACTCCTATCTAATGATTCGGACTCTGACTCGATACCTTCAAGAAGGCCTTCACGAAGGTTAAGTGGCTCCAAGTCATCTTCATTCAGAAGATCTATAAGGGATTCACCGAGAGCTTACGAAGCCACCATCGTTCGCCAAGGAAGTCTCCACGAAGGTCTCCCTATAGAAGCCACTCGTCTGTCCATTCAAGACATCTTCGTCCTATAGTGTGTCGAGGGATTCATTAGGACCTTAGCGAAACTACAGGTCACCCTACAGTTCGTCGGGCTATTCACCATGTCGATCCCCTCGCCGATTTACACACAAGTATCTATCAACTGTATGCCACATGCCGTCTACAAGCCTACGCGAAGGCATTCACACAGGCTATTTACAATATGTCCTTACCGAGCCTGCGCGAAGGTATTCGCACAGACATCCACAAGACAGAGATGTCGCAGTACTTAACTTTTTAACTTGAACGTTATATAGTTACGCGAAGTACTATTTACAGATAAAGAGCCTAATTAAGGATCTTCAGGCCGACTACCTACATCAAGGGCATCAACGACGTTTCGCAAATAATCACAGGAATCACCATTTCGGTATATATTGCTAGGTATGCAATCCCGGACTACGATACGATTATCTACATGCAAGGCGCCATAGTCACACCAAGTTGACCACTACGCAGATCTGCAGACAATTCAATAACGGAATTGAGCAGCAGCCTTATTACAGCGAGTAAAACACGTAATCGCCAACGAATTCCTGAGAAATATGTACAACAAGTTCAGCTTTAATTCTACAATTATGACGCTGCATTGATGTATGCAGTCTACAAGCTGACAACTTGCAAGTTTTATTGAGCCTATATATAAGGAAGTCGGCATTATCTTCAAGACTGAAGTTACATTCACAGCAGCCAGGAAAATAACCTCCCCAGCATTAATATTACAGGGCGAGGTAATTCGCGCCGAAAGATTCGCGCGTTTACCATTAACCCTCGAAACACGTGGTCACTCGTGTAACTTCGGGAAGTTACGGACAAGACCGACGATTGATCTAATATCAACAACGGCACTAAATTATACAAGGTTCCTTTTCCTGCTACACCGGTGACATCACAGCGCGGGTACACTACAGAATCAAAATGCCTTGTTCTGATTGGACCGCGATGGACAACGCCCTACGCAGAGGTCGATCATAGTTCACAGTTCAAGACATAGGTTGCAAGTGACAACAACATATCAGTGAACGAGCAAAGCCTCCATACAGTCCAGTTAAACTGAACCTTCATGATTGAGCTGCCTTCATGAGGTTAGAGACCTCCCCTGTCAAGTAAGGACGAGGGCACGGCAGTCAGGCGATTTTTTACATAAAGTTCAACGATGGCAGTCACCCCTGGTTGTTCACCTACATCGTCAAGGACTTCGCAGCGCGTTTTACCTCGACGACGGGATACAAGTCGATCCAGATCCACAGCGTCTCAGACTACAGTTGAACTTCATCATCAAGCTACTAACACAACTAGGATGGTTAGTAAATCTACTTAAGTGGGACCTAGAACCTACGCAAGATCTGCAATTTGTAGGTATTTGAATTGTAACGGCGCAGAATCGTATAATTGTACCGGAGGACCGATGGATCAAGATCCAACAGTCAATCCCACAAGCCTTACTCTCTCCGCTACCACTACGACAGTGGCAGAGCCTGTTGGGGTTACTCACGTCAGCTCAAGACATGACAGTCAGATGCAGACTACAATTACGTCCGTTACAAGTCCTCATCAATTCGCATCTCGACGACTCTCTACCGTTCAGTCTACCGGATCACGTCAAACCTCACCTACTATGGTGGACCAAGAGATCGAATGTTTGCGTAGGCGTCTCCTTAATAGAGCCAGAATTGAAAACACATCTCTACGTAGACGTGTCACTACAAGGTTGGGGAGTCCATCTCGCCAACAGGACGGCATCAGGGCTATGGAGCAATCAAGAGAGCAAATTACACATAAATCTGCTAGAGATGCAAGCAGTGATAAACGCCATAATGCACTGAAGCAACTTACTACAGAATGCTCAGTTGATGATTCACACAGACAATTCGACAGTGGCGTTTTATGTGAACAAACAAGGCTCAACCAGGTCCCTGAACCTATTGACTCTATGTTTTCAATTGTTCGATTTAATCGACAATCTCAACATACATGTCAGAGCATGTCACATTCCAGGAGCAAAGAATGTAATAGCAGACGCTCTCTCTCGGCCACACCTACCATCGCCGACAGAATGGATGCTCCAGTCATAGACCTATTTGCCACTCGATTCAACAATCAACTGACAACATTCATATCGCCAGTTCCAGACCCACTAGCACGGGCAACGGATGCACTAAGCATATCGTGGGAAGGACTCAACGCGTACGCGTTCCCGCCGCCAGTGTTAATCCCACAAGTGTTACTCAATATCCAACTGATTTGATAGCGCCCTACTGGCCAGTGAGAACGTGGTTTCCTACTCTTATTCAAGAAATCGGACAACCAATACTACAACTTCCAAAGTGCCCGAATCTGTTAATACATCCGCACACCAGACAAGCACACGGAAAGCCAAAAGCATTCCAACTTCACGTATGGACTGTATTAAGGCGTGTCTAAATAAAAAAGGTTATTCAGCCAGAGCGGCGAAAGCAGTCACCCTTGCCTTGCGTAACTCCACTCGCAACTTGTACGATGACAAGTGGCACAGTTTTGTCAATTATGCTGCAAAGAAAGGATTACAGATAGATATGCTACTCATCCTCAAGTGGCTGACTACTTATGTTATCTACGTCAGACTAATAATCTAAAAGGCTCCACCTTATCTACTTATCTTGCAGCAATAAGCTCGGTCATGACTTTGAGAACGGGTGTCAAGCTAAACAAGACCCCAGAGTTACTCGCCTTACTACGAGCATTCCGATTGGAGGATCAGAAACGCAGATTTCACGCTCCAGCTTGGGATCTAAATATAGTGCTCCAACACCTCACAAGTGAGGCATATGAACCATTAGAATCTACATCGTTCGAATTTCTGACTCAGAAAACTTGTTCCTGTTATCTCTAGCCAGGATGTCAGAGATTCACGCAATGGATTACGAGAGAACACGCTTTGATGACATTCATAACATCGTGCATATGGGACTACGTTGGGATTTATCGCCAAGAACCAATTACCAGGCCAACCAGACAGGTTATTTCACATCCCAGCTCTCTCATCTATACTTGGACCTCATGATACGATGGATCTATCACTATGTCCAGTAAGAGCACTGAAAATATATCTCCACCGATCCAAACAGAGGAGACAAAAATTCAAGAGATTATTTATTCCTCTATCAACAGCTACGGAGACTGAAGTCTCACGTACTACTATCTCCATTTGGATCAGAACTGTCATACTACGTGCCTACAAGGCTGCAGGACTCGACCCTCCAAGAGCATCTAATCCTCATGAAATTAGAGCGTTAGCATCTACACTTGCTCTTCACGGCAACTGCTCTTTGAATACCATAATGGAGGGTTGTTTCTGGAGATCCGATATGGTGTTTGCCAACCATTATCTGAGAGATATCACCACCGAGGACGTCTCAGGTATCCACCATTTCGGTCCCATGGTCCTCGCACAACAGTTGACAGTTCCTCGGAGAAGATAAGTCAATCTTACAGATTTTACTACTTATCTTATAACAGTACTAAATAGCTATATGCTATATATATTTTGCTTAAGTTCATTTATTATCTTAAGCACAGTACTATGGTTGTTATATCATAACAGTATATTAGCTAACAAACTCTACGGAGTTTTTGCTATTATATATTTAGCTTAAGTTTAATCATATCTTAAGCTCAGTACTATGGTTATATCATAAAAGTATATTAGCTAACAAACTCTACGGAGTTTTTTGCTATTATATATTTAGCTTAAGTTTAATCATATCTTAAGCCCAGTACTATGGTTATATCATAAAAGTATATTAGCTAACAAACTCTACAGAGTTTTTTGCTATTATATATTTAGCTTAAGTTTAATCATATCTGAAGCTCAGTACTATAGTTATATCATAAAAGTATATTAGCTAACAAACTCTATGAAGTTTATGCTATCATATTATCAAGCTTAAGTCTATTTAGTCTTAAGCATAGTATTCATGTTATATATACTTTTATCTTAATATTTATATTGTAATAACCCATATATGGCAGCTGATAAGTTAGCAGCAGGAATTCATCAATTCAGTGCCTTTATGAAGTTCCCATAAGGGTTATTACAGTCATTACAGAAATCACTAATTATCTAAAAATCCAAAGTATTCTGTATTCCCACCTCCGTATCCGTCGGATTCTACAAGCAATAAGCATGAGTCAGGATAAGAACAAATATGTAATTTTCTGATTAAAATTTATATTTTATACTTATCCTGACTCATGAGGTAAGCCCTCCCGTCCTCCCCACATAACACTTTGGATTTCCCTGAAAATTCAAGTGTTGGGCTCGCTATATAAGGAGAGAGTGAGGCACATGGCAGGAGGTGGCGCCCTCGTTCCCGCGCTTTTGAGGGGACAGATAACTCGTGGTGGGCACTAGTTAGTAATTTTACATTGAAGGGAACTTCAATTGGGAGATACAAGTGTTCCACTGTGTTCGCAAGAAGAAGAAGACAAGCAAGTAGCATGAGTCAGGATAAGTATAAAATATCAATTTTAATCAGAAAATTACATTATTGTGCCCCAGTAGTATGTACCATAGTTGATGTTATATCATTTTGCCCCAGGAGTATGTACCATAGTTGTTGTTACATCATTGTGCCCCAGTTGTATGTACCCTACTTGATGTATCTTTGTGCCCCAGTAGCATGTACCATAGTTGTTGTTATATCATTGTGCCCGAGTAGCAAGTACCATTGTTTGGCTGAGAAGTATGTGAAGTAGTTTCATGAAATTAGGCATTCTCTTCCCACAGAGGTTACTCCTGTCATATCTTCCTACATAACCTCTGTTCTAATACGACCCTTTCTTGGTGTCAGCGTTCAAGGCTCGTGATTGGAGACAAGCCGATTTAGTTGTGCAATCAGCGACGTTGTTTCAAAAGTGACCATTCGCAAGGCCTCGGTAATTTCCGTATGCTTCGGGAAAACTAGAACCTCTTCCCGAGCGCGATGCGCAAACGTTTCTTCTAGACAGAACTCAGTCATGTAATGGCGTATCAATGGCGTCTCCATCGCCCTCGTTGACAACGGACAAGCTAGCCATTAAACGTCTTGTGTGTAACATCAACACAATTCCCCGGCAGATGGGGGATATTTGTGGCCCCGCATTTGCTTGTGTTAGTCAAATTGAATCTAAGTCGATGTAACACGTGTTCTGATTGGATAGAAAGAAGGGAGATAATTCGTGTTGCGATCTTTTGTCGCTAGGGGATTTTACGAGGACCGGGAAATATGGCCGTATTAGAACAGAGGTTATGTAGGAAGATATGACAGGAGTAACCTCTGTGGGAAGAGAATGGAAATTAGGAAGTGATTGGATGTTTGGTATGTCAAGTAGTATGAAAGTGGTATAATTTCACTGTCTCTGAAAACAATTCCAGTCTTCATTTGCTCTTCCGTTTCAGAGGCCAACATCCGTCGGCGATGTACTTGACTGAAAGTTCCGAACACCAGAGACGGGGCCCACAGAGGCTGTCACTGGGAGGTAACCAGGTCGTGTGTTGTCAGTGGCAGTGTGGGCTGAGATGTGCTGTTGTTTATGATTGTAAAAACCTTTTTCAGATCCATATACAGGCTTGTTAAGTTTTATCAGCCAATGTCCATGTTTTGTCTGTGAAAACATTATTACTAAACTAATGTAGAGATATTAAATTGTATTTCGATAGACAAATGTGGTTAAAATATTTTTTAAAAAGTACGTGTTATTGTCATACTGTTCACCTCTGTGGGCGGTGGGGAAGCCTAGAGGTTAAAGCATGTGCTCGTCACGCCGAAGACCCGGGTTCGATTCCCACATGGGTACAATGTGTGAAGCCCATTTCTGGTGTCCCCCGCCGTGATATTGGTGGAATATTGCTAATAAGTGGCGTAAAACCATGCTCACTCACTCACTGTGGCCTAGTGGGTTTGCATCTGTCCAGAGAGTGAATGGTCAGTGGTTTGATCCTGGGCTGTGTCAAACCAGAATAAAACACAAGTACCTCTTGCAGGGTGCTTGACTTTAGGCGCATAAATGCAAAAGAACTGTATGTTTTATTATAGAAAGTCTGTTTTACATGTTCTTACCCCCCAAAATATGTGTAATATGATTTATTACCCTTCTCTCAAGACTGTCCTACTTCGTGGTCAGCTACCTGATTCCTCCCGAGGACACTGCTATTCTCCTGCTTAATGAGCATGAGTTCCGCGACATATGGCTTTACCAAATCTAAGATGGTCACATAATTATAGGATTTTCCTTCTTAGTTTGTTTCAGCCGTGTTCTGTTTGACATTTTAGATTTGCATGCCTTTGGTAACTCAACTGTAGATAAGCCTTGGCAGAAAGTGGAACAGGGTCAACCTCGCTTTCAGAAGATTATTGAAGAAAACAGAAGTCCGGAGTCCAAAAACAAGCTTGTTGATTCCCTGCTGGATTTCCTGAATGACAAACAACAGTAAGTGTTGGTGAGATGACTGACAAACAACAGTAAGTGTTGGTGAGACGACTGACAAACAGCAGTAAGTGTTGGTGAGATGACTGACAAACAACAGTAAGTGTTGGTGAAATGACTGACAAACAACAGTAAGTGTTGGTGAGATGACTGACAAACAACAGTATTTTCCCTTATCCTGACTCATGCTTATTTGCTTGTCTCCTTCCTTTGGCGAACATAAGTGGAACACTTGTATCTCCTATTGAAGCTCCCTTCAATAAAAAACAGACGTAACATCACCACTCACCAAGTGTTATCTGTCTGGCCGTTTTGGTGGGAAAGCGGCGCCACCGTACTCCCATGCTTCACTCTCTCCTTCTTCGCCCTAGTGGACGGTTGGGAGAGCACCTGTGTCTCCAATACGGCACTATATCCTTTGATTAATTAGTTATTACCCTATAAATTACCTTTATAGGGGTCTAGGGTGTATCCTCCAACAATATGGTTTGAAATTTATTTGTATTTTCACTGTTTATTCACGGTTTTTGTACGTGATTGTTCAGTTGTTTACATTTCATGAAAACCTTTTTTCGTTGTAGGTTTAGGTTCGCTGCTGCAAACCCGCATTGACTGTGCCCTAGCTGCACAACAACATGTACTTCCAGCTATCAATGTAATCTTTATCAGCATTTAACAGAAATTCAATTTAACAAATAATTTTTCTCTGTACTTAGACGTACTAGCGACAATCCAGGCGACTTTACAAGTCATGGATAAACCGGCTGAGTCCCTCACGAGCTGTCTACTGCTGTCAGACGACTTACTTCCATCCAGTGACCTGCCGGAGGTGTCCTCGGAGAATGGGCGTGGGATGTTGTCCATGGGCCATTACATTTCTGGTGCCCGAAGGAGTTGGCTTCTACATCGGACAACCCCTCAACGCAGACGTAGAAGAAGAAGCCATCCTCTACGCAGAATGAAGCCTCACACCCCTAAGACGCCTAGCAGCTCTACGGGGACTTCTACGCAGACTACAGGGACCTTTCGGCAGACATCGTCCCGATGGAAGTGAGATGACTTCATGATGAGCTGCTACTGATCATCCCAGGAGATACAGCACGCAGTCCAAGGGCGGCACATAAGCGATCCCTGGACCATATCACTATCAACGCAGAGAGGGCAGCTCTACAATCATCGCAGACGAAGGGAAAGAAGCCATCCTCTACCCAGAGAAGGCTACACACCCCTTAGACGACGACCAACTGTACGGGGACGTCTGCGCAGACTATAAGGACTTTCTTGGCCGAGATTGTCCCGATGACGGAAAGAGGACTCTATGATGAGCCGCCGCTCATCATCCCCGAGATACATCACCGGTAGAAGCGGGCCTCAGCAACGGTAACGTCAGCGCAGTTGTCTACGCAGTCCGAGGTATCTACACTGACGGCAGATGAGCGATCCCTGGGCCATATCGCTACCAACGCAGAGAGGGCAGCTCATCTCTCACCGCAGACATTCAACCCGGGGGACTTCATGCAGCAGTTCCCACAGCAGATCATGGAGATGATGGAGAGGCGCTTCGCACTGGAAAGGGCATCGCATGATCAACAACCAGCCCGCAGAGCGGACCCGGACCTTCGCGAAGGTTCCAACGCAGAGGGAACAGATCTACGCTTCAGGACGTCAACCAGCCTGCACGAAGGACGACATGCTTATCCCCAGATGCCGAATCAGATGATCAGCATTCGCGAATGCACTCGCAAAGGGCATTCCAACGCAGACGATGTTTCGGAGAGGCCCTCCAGCAACGTGACGACCGGGAACAGATCTACGCTTCAGGACGTCAACCAGCCTGCGCGAAAGATGACACGCCTATCCCCAGATGCCAAATCAGATGATCAGCATTCGCAAATGCACTCGCGAAGGGCTTCGGACACAGCCTCAAAGACATCTTCAACATCGCATAGATCGTCGAGGGATTCACCGAGGTATTCGCGAACCAAAAGACGCTCATCTCCGAGCAAGTCTCCACGCAGGTCGCCTTACAGACGCAGTTCACCGGGCTCCTCTCCACGCCGATCTCCGCGCAGGTCTCCACGAAGGTCTCCAGGCAGGTCTTCATGCACCCCAACGAAGGACGATCAACGATCTCACAACAGTGGACCTGATACAGACGTCACCCTCACCCAGGAAGAGAATGCGGCGCTCAACTCTACAGGACGTCAAAGAGCCTGCGCGAAGGTCTACATCGCAGAGATGTCGCAGTACTTAGAACGCTACATGCCGTCAACGAGCCTGAGCGAAGGCATTCGCGAAGGCATTCGCGCAGGCCATCTACAACGCAGAGACGTCGCAGTACTTAGATTCTCAACAGAACGCTACATGCTGTCAGCAACCTGCGCGCAGGACGGGACCGTCAACAGATGATGAGCCTAATAAAGGACCTTCACGCTGACTACCTACATCAAGGGCATCAACAACGCCTCGCAGATTATCACGGGAATCCCCACTTAGGAATACATTGCCAGGAAGGCAATCCCGGACTACAAGACGATCACCTACACACAGGGCGCCATACAGACGCATCCACGCAGATCGCTACGCAGATCTCCAATGATATTCAACCAGGACACGATGGTGGACTGGACCTAGCATCACCCTATAAGGGAAAGATCTTCGTCGGCACAAAGACTAAGGAACATGTAATGAAGTTCAAGAGGGGTACTCTTGTCCGAATTCATCACCGGCACGGACCTTCAGACTGAATCCACGACGGGATTCACATAGATTGATATATTTACATCAGAAGACTCATGGCCATATAGAGATCTTCACTTCCGTACAGATCTGCAGATATTCACACTGGCGTGGTTCAGCAGCAGCCTTGCTAAGGCTAGGAAACTACAAAATCGTCAACGACTCCCTGGGTAGAATTTACAACAAAGTTCATCATCAACTCTACAATTACGACGCTTCATTGAGATCGATGTATGCAGTCTACAATAGCAGCACTGAGGACGTGATGATTTCAGCTGATCATCTGTATAAAAGGGCGACAACATTATCTTCAGGGCTGAAGTAACAGTCACAGCAGCCAGGAAAACAGCCTACCTACATCGGTATTACGCGGCGAAATATTTCGCGCGTTTACCATTCAACCCTCGATACACGTGGTCACTCGTATGACTCCGGAAGGCTACGGACAAGACCGAGTGGTGATAAGATATCAACGGCGGCACTAGATTCTACAAGGACCTTTTTCCTGCTACACCGGTGACGTCACATCGCGGCAAGCCAAAGGAATCAAAATGCTTTATTTTGATTGGACCATGAGAGACAACGCCCTGCACAGAGGTCGGACGTAGTTCACATGTCAGGAAATGGGTTACAAGTGACAACAACCTGTCAACGAAAGAGGAAAGCCTCAATTACCGTCCAGTTAGACGGGACCTACGTGATTTGGCTGCCTTCACGGGGTTAGATACCTTCCCTGTCAACATTGAAGATGATTCATCAGACGAATTGCAGCAACATACGTTGGACGGACTTTGGGTGACGGCAGCCAGACTACTTTATATCGACTTCACAACGATGGCAGTCACAGAGTCGGTCAAGTACTACTCTCTCCGTTATTACTACGAAGTGGCAGAGTCTGTTGGGTCTTCTCACGTCAGCACAGGACATAATACGCAGACGGAGTCTACAACTACGCCTACTACAGGTCTTCGTGAATGTACAACTGTACGATCCGGACCGCTTCGGACTCCCGGACAGACTAAAACCATATCTAATATGGTGGACTCAGAGATCGGATGATCGCAGACGCACCTATTTAGCAGAGCCGGAGTGCAAGACGCATCTCTATGTGGATGCATCTCTCCAAGGTTGTCAGCTGGGATATGGACCATAGAAGAGAAAGATCTGCACATCAACATGCTGGAAATGAAAGCAGTGATAAACGCCATACTCTACTAGACCAGCATTTTGAAGAATGCTCATCTGACGGTAGATACATTCAACTCCACAGTGGCGTTCTACATACACAGAAGGATCAACAAGGTCGGCGAACTTTCTGGACCTCTGCTTTCAACTGGCCAGCATAACAGACAACCTGAACATCCACATAAGAGCATGCCACATTCCAGGAGCCAAGAATGTGATAGCAGATGCACTATCCCGTCCAACGCAGCCATCCTCAACAGAATGGATGCTACATCCAGAGATCTTCAAGCAGATCATGCCAGAAATGTGAGCACCACTAATAGACCTCTTCGCCACAAGGGTCAACTGATAACATTCGTCTCACCAATACCAGATCCATGAGCATGGGCATCTGACGCTCTAAGCATCTCCTGGCAAGGACTAAACGCTTACCCGTTTCCACCACCAGCTCTAATACCGAGGGTGTTGCAGAAAATCAGTCAGACGAAGGACCTACAACTGATTTTGGTCGCGCCTTACTGGCCAGCGAGAATATGATTCCCTATTCTCATACAAGAACTAGGACTGCCTCAACTGCAACTACCAGAGTGGACGAATCTACTAGTACATCCTCACACAAAGCAGGCACACGGCAACCAGAGGTGTTCCGGCTACACGTGTGGACTGTATCAAGGCATGCTTGAACAAGAGAGGATATTCCGCCAGGGCAGCGAAAGCAGTCACACTAGCTTTACGCAAGTCTACACGCATCTTGTACAACAACAATTGGCGACGCTTCGAGACATACGCGTTGAGGACCGGCTTCACAGCCATAAAAGTGACACATCCTCAAGTGGCGGACTACTTTTGTCACCTAGACAAACGAAGCGGTTAAAAGGGTCAACACTCTGAACATACCTAGCGGCATTGAGCTCAGTTATCGCCATGAGGACGAGTGCAACTGACGAAAGTACCAGAGTTACTGGCCTTACTACGCTCTTATAAATTGGAGGACCAACAACAGAGATTTAAAGCTCCGGCGTGGGACCTCAACGTAGTTCTACGACATCTCACCAGTGACATCTACGAACCATTAGAGAGGACATCCTTCAAGTTCTTGACGTAGAAGATGCTGTGCCTGATCGCCTTAGCAACAGCAGCAAGGATGTTGGAAATCCATGCTCTGGACTTCGAGAGAACACGATTTGATGAAAATCAAAACATCGTGCATATGGGACTTCATAGCAAGAATCAACTGCCAGGTCATCCAGACAGACAGTTCCACGTCCCAACACTATCATCAGTCCTTGGACCACAGGATACGCAGGACCTATCCTTGTGCCCAGTGAGAGCATTGCAAGTCTACCTACAAGATCCAGGTCCAGGAGACAGAAATTCAAGCGTCTTTTCGTCCCGATATCGACAGCGACACAGACGGAGGTCTTCCGCACTAAGATATCAATCTGGATCAGAACTGTCATACTACGGGCCTACAAAGCAGCAGGACTTGATCCTCCAAGAGCCTCCAACCCACATGAAGTTAGAGCTCTGGCGCCAACACTCGCTCTACATGGGAATTGCTCTATCAGGACGATAATGGAGGGCTGCTTCTGGAAATGGGACATGCTGTTTGCCAACCACTACCTGAGGGACATCGTCACCGAGGACGTCTCTGGCATTCACCATTTCGACCCACTTGTTGTAGCACAACAATTGACAGTCCCACAAAGGTGCTGAGACGGAGTCTCGCCCTTTTATCACATGACTTGCAAAAGCCTACACTCAGGAGAGTTCAGCTTTAGAGTCTATATGCACGTCTAGGACAGACTAGCATAAGTGATATGACCCAGTACTTGTAAGGACATTCTAGTACAGGAAAGGGTCGCTTCTCCACTTGGTGCTCGCATCAAGAGATGGAGTTGCAAAATCCACATAAAATGTTAACAGAAGCAAGGACCAAAAGTTAACAATTGTGGTCCCCCCTTCAGAGAAAGCTGGAAGTGAAGGGTTACAGCAGCAGCAGAGCCTAGCAGTAAAAGAAGTGCTACCAGGAAGTTCCCATAGGGGGGTATGTAAGACGTAAATCACTACATGGAATCCAGAAGTGGCTTGACCCACCACCGAATCCGACGGATTTTACAAGCAAATAAGCATGAGTCAGGATAAGGGAAAATATGTAATTTTCTGAATAAAATTGATATTTTATACTTATCCTGACTCATGAGGTAAGCCCTCCCAACCTCCCTGCTAGACACTTTGGATTTCCCTGTAAATTAAAGTGTCGGGCTCATAATTCGGAGAGAGTGAAGCATGGGAGTACGGTGGCGCCGCTTTCCCGCCAAAACGGCAAGACAGATAACTCTTGGTGAGTGGTGATTTTACGTGTTTTTTATTGAAGGGAGCTTCAATAGGAGATACAAGTGTTCCACTAACGTTCGCAAGAGGAAGGAGACAAGCAAATAAGCATGAGTCAGGATAAGTATAAAATATCAATTTTATTCAGAAAATTACATAAGTGTTGGTGAGATGACTGACAAACAACAGTAAGTGTTGGTGAGATGACTGACAAACAACAGTAAGTGTTGGTGAGATGACTGACAAACAACAGTAAGTAAGTTTAATTGCCACGTGATTAATTCGGTTTAGGTTTCAGATTGCTAGAATGTATGCATGGTGTTCCTTGTTACAGATATACAACAGACAGTGTTCTTGGTGGAACATGTCGAGAGTTGGGCGTTTCCACTGTGATAAAGGATGAGAGATCGGCAAACTGTGTGTGGTCGCCATCAATCATGTATGGGACAAGGTAAGCAAATGGAGGGGTTTGTGGTGAGATCATGATGTACCTGCTGACTATATGCTTGTTTGTGGTTTACATGGCGTGGGGATGTTTCTTTGTGGACTCAACTTTCATCCTTTATGAGTTTGAAACTCTGTAGCAGTTTTGAATAGAGTTAAATAGGGTTGCTGTAAAAACCAGGTGTAAACATGCTAAACAAGAGTTACCGAATATTATTGCATACAATAGAATGTGTTTTTCTGTTGTCAGAACCAACACTGTGATCCTGGTGGATAGCAATGGTCGATGTGATTACATTGAACGATCCTTGGTGACCCCTGTTGATGAAAACGATCCCCATACAACTACAGAAACATTTTCTTTCAACATTGACATGACCTCCACATAACTGTTTGTTACAAAGCAGTCATCACTGTTAAGTCTGTTATCTTTCGTATGAATATTAAGCTGATCTGAGTTATCTCCCTTTAACCAGAATATTATTAAGGGAAATGTCGAATCCCAGATTGTGTTTTGGCGTCTGTTAGCACCGTGTCCTTCCTCTTGGATTCACCCAGTGGTAAACATCAGAGACCAGCATCATTTCAGACTTTCTCTCACATTCAGCCTGCACTCTGTGATATATATGCAATATTGTTTACGTGATATTAAACCAAGCTTGATCACTTCCGTTGGTGAAAGCGTGTTTGTGTTGTTTGTGTTGGTTTATGTGTAGTAGAGAGGAGAACATGGTTAGAAGCTTTACTGTGAATGTACTCGTAGGGAACTAGGACCACCATGTGTTGTGTGTGTGCTGTAGCCAGTGGTCAGTAGGAAGTCTGTGGACTCGGAGGGAACTAGGACCACCAAGTGTCATGTGTATGCTGCAGCCAGTGCTCAGTAAGAAGTCTGTGGACTCGGAGGGAACTAGGACCACCATGTGTTGTGTGTATGCTGCAGCCAGTCCTCTGTAGGAAGTCTGTGGACTCGGAGGGAACTAGGACCACCATGTGTTGTGTGTGTGCTGTAGCCAGTGGTCAGTAGGAAGTCTGTGGACTCGGAGGGAACTAGGACCACTAAGTGTCGTATATATGCTGTAGCCAGTGGTCAGTAGGAAGTCTGTGGACTCAGAGGGAACTAGGACCACCAAGTGTCATGTGTATGCTGCAGCTAGTGCTCAGTAAGAAGTCTGTGGACTCGGAGGGAACTAGGACCACCATGTGTTGTGTGTATGCTGCAGCCAGTCCTCTGTAGGAAGTCTGTGGACTCGGAGGGAACTAGGACCACCATGTGTTGTGTTTGTGCTGTAGCCAGTGGTCAGTAGGAAGTCTGTGGACTCGGAGGGAACTAGGACCACTAAGTGACCAGTGTATATGCTATATGCCTGTAGCCAGTGGTCAGTAGGAAGTCTGTGGACTCAGAGGGAACTAGGACCACCATGTGTTAGGAAGTGTTGAACTGCATGTGTGTGTGCCAGTGCTGTAGCCAGTGGTCAGTAGGAAGTCTGTGGACTCGAGGAGGGAACCACCACCATGTGTTGTGTGTGTGCTGTAGCCAGTGGTCAGGAGGAAGTCTGTGGACTCGGAGGGAACTAGGACCCACCAAGTGTCGTGTGTATGCTGCAGCCAGTCCTCCTCAGTAGGAAGTCTGTGACTCGTAGGGAACTAGGACCACCAAGTGTCGTGTGTATGCTGTAGCCAGTGCTCTGTAGGAAGTCTGTCGACTCGGAGGGAACTAGGACCACCAAGTGTCGTGTGTATACTGTAGCCAGTTGTCTATAGGAAGTCTGTGGACTCGGAGGGAACTAGGACCACCATGTGTTGTGTGTGTGCTGTAGCCAGTGGTCAGTAGGAAGTCTGTGGACTCGGAGGGAACTAGGACCACCAAGTGTCGTGTGTATGCTGCAGCCAGTCCTCTGTAGGAAGTCTGTGGACTCGGAGGGAACTAGGACCACCATGTCTGATGTGTGCCAAGTGATCCGTGAAGATCTGGGTTATGTTTGGTCTTCAGCAACCGATGCTGACTTAGTTGATGCATGTCATTGTATCCAAATTGATCAATAGATCAATGCTCATGATATTAATCACTGGATTGTCTGGTTCAGATTCAATTATTTAGAGACTACAGGTATTTACTTGAACATTGTGGCATGAAACAATAGTCAAGCAGTGCTCGGTATGAGCCCGGTGAAGTCAGGTCTGGTCTGAGGGAACGAGGACAACACAGTCTGATGGAAGTGTTTGAGGCACACTTCTGTCCATATTTGTATTATTTGTATTATGGTTTGGTTTTATTTCTTTACCACCTGAATTTTTCCAATATATCACTTTCAATTCACTAAAATAAAACATGTTTGCCTGAATCCTTGGTTCATTGATACCCAGATATTAGGAACCTTGATGCTGATTGGCTACTTTAAAAATAAACCTCACGTGAAGGTGTATCCAGATCCTCACAGAGAGGTATCTCTCATTAGAGTGAAAGATTGGATAGAGACTCTGAATTTGTTCCAGATTACTCGGGAAAACAGACCCTTAGGGTTTAAAACAGAAATAATTATGTATAATGGATGTTAAGGCAAGAAGTTGCCAGAGTTGCGACAGATACGCAAATTTCTTTTGTCCTGGGTTCCAATCCCTGCTTTCCTCAAATACATTTCTAGGTCTGTCAGCATGGTACCTATGGTCATAAAAATAATAATCATAAGTCATCTTCTATAGCGCACAGTCTCCAAACACCAAGTGATTGCTCGCAGCGCTTAATCAGAATCTGATTCTTATTACCCGGGATAACCCAGGCTGCCTGTTAGGCGCTAGAAGGTTAAAGTCACATGACTTTATCCCACCGGGTACCCATTTTCTACTGGGTGAACAGAGGCAATTTGAACAAACTCACTTGCCTAAGGTCAGACCACATGCATCACATGTGCTTCGTTGTGGGGCAGGACTGAAGTCCTAGAAACTCTCAGGAGTCAGGCTGCCAAACACGGTCACCCATCCAAGGATTGTCCGAGCTCGAGGTTGGTTAACTTCAACTGATTCGTGACCTGAGCTGTGTGCACAGGACCACCCGCCACCACATGGGTTTCACCGAAGCAGTGAGCCTCACCTGCACCACTTGAGGATGTCTTGTTTCAAGTAGCAGTATGTATGCAAACTCACATGTGTTCCAGTGGTGTCAGTCACTGGATTGTCTGGTCTAGACTTGATTATTTACAGACCATCATCACATAGCTTGACTATTGGTAACTGCAGCGTAAACATTAACATATACTTCTGTCCTCAGCAAATTGTTTGTTGTTTAAGGCCACACTCAGCAATATTACAGCTAATAGGATTGCGGTCTTCATGAATGATGTGGTCTCTCCAGCCCAGAGTACCTAGCAACAGTGTGTGACTGATCTTCATGAATGATACAGTCTCTCCAACCCAGAGTACTCAGCAGCAGTGTGTGACTGATCTTCATGAATGATACGGCCTTTCCAACCCAGAGTACCTGGCAGCAGTGTGTGACTGATCTTCATGAATGATACGGCCTCTCCAACCCAGAGTACCTGGCAGCAGTGTGTGACCGATCTTCATGAATGATAAGGTCTCTCCAACCCAGAGTACCTGGCAGCAGCGCGTGACTGATCTTCATGAATGATACGGCCTCTCCAACCCAGAGTACCTGGCAGCAGTGTGTGACTGATCTTCATGAATGATACGGTCTCTCCAACCCAGAGTACCTGGCAGCAGTGGGTGACTGATCTTCATGAATGATACGGTCTCTCCAACCCAGAGTACCCGGCAGCAGCAGTGTGTGACTGATCTTCATGAATGATATGGTCTCTCCAACCCAGAGTTCCCGGCAGCAGTGTGTGACTGATCTTAATGAATGATATGGTCTCTCCAACCCAGAGTTCCCGGCAGCAGTGTGTGACTGATCTTCATGAATGATATGGTCTCTCGAACCCAGAGTACCTGGCAGCAGTGTGTGACTGATCTTCATGAATGATACGGCCTCTCCAACCCAGAGTACCCGGCAGCAGTGTGTGACTGACCTTCATGAATGATACGGTCTCTCCAACCCAGAGTACCCGGCAGCAGTGTGTGACTGATCTTCATGAATGATAAGGTCTCTCCAGCCCAGAGTACCCAGCAGCAGCAGTGTGTGACTGATTTTCATGAATGATCAGGTCTCTCCAACCCAGAGTACCTTGCAGCAGCAGTGTGTGACTGATCTTCATGAATGATATGGTCTCTCCAATCCAGAGTACCTGGCATCAGCGTGTGACTGATCTTCATGAATGATACAGTCTCTCCAACCCAGAGTACCCGGCAGCAGTCTGTGACTGATCTTCATGAATGATACGGCCTCTCCAACCCAGAGTACCCGGCAGCAGTGTGTGACTGACCTTCATGAATGATATGGTCTCTCCAACCCAGAGTACCCGGCAGCAGTGTGTGACTGATCTTCATGAATGATACGGCCTCTCCAACCCAGATTACCCGTCAGCAGCGTGTGACTGATCTTCATGAATGATATGGTCTCTCCAATCCAGATTACCTGGCATCAGTGTGTGACTGATCTTCATGAATGATACGGTCTCTCCAGCCCAGAGTACCCCGCAGCAGCAGTGTGTGACTGATCTTCATGAATGATACGGTCTCTCCAGCCCAGAGTACCTGCCAGCAGTGTGTGACTGATCTTCATGAATGATACAGTCTCTCGAACCCAGAGTACCCGGCAGCAGTGTGTGACTGATCTTCATGAATGATATGGTCTCTCCAGCCCAGAGTAGCCAGCAGCAGCAGTGTGTGACTGATCTTCATGAATGATAAGGTCTCTCCAACCCAGAGTACCTGGCAGCAGTGTCTGACTGATCTTCATGAATGATACGGCCTCTCCAACCCAGAGTACCCGGCGGCAGCAGTGTGTGACTGATCTTCATGAATGATATGGTCTCTCCAACCCAGAGTACCTTGCAGCAGCAGTGTGTGACTGATCTTCATGAATGATATGGTCTCTCCAATCCAGAGTACCTGGCATCAGTGTGTGACTGATCTTCATGAATGATACAGTCTCTCCAGCCCAGAGTACCTGGCAGCAGTGTGTGACTGATCTTCATGAATGTTACGGCCTCTCCAACCCAGAGTACCCGGGAGCAGCGTGTGACTGATCTTCATGAATGATATGGTCTCTCCAATCCAGATTACCTGGCATCAGTGTGTGACTGATCTTCATGAATGATACGGTCTCTCCAGCCCAGAGTACCCCGCAGCAGCAGTGTGTGACTGATCTTCATGAATGATACGGCCTCTCCAACCCAGAGTACCTGGCAACAGTGTGTGACTGATCTTCATGAATGATACGGCCTCTCCAACCCAGAGTACCTGGCAGCAGTGTGTGACCGATCTTCATGAATGATAAGGTCTCGAACCCAGAGTACCTGGCAGCAGTGTGTGACTGATCTTCATGAATGATATGGCCTCTCCAGCCCAGAGTACCTGGCAACAGTGTGTGACTGATCTTCATGAATGATACAGTCTCTCCAACCCAGAGTACTCAGCAGCAGTGTGTGACTGATCTTCATGAATGATAATGGCCTCTCCAACCCCGAAAGTACCTGGCAGCAGTGTGTGACTGATCTTCATGAAGGATACGGTCTCTCCAACCCAGAGTACCTGGCAGCAGTGTGTGACTGATCTTCATGAATGAT